CCCAGCTGGATTCTGAATTGGCTGCTGAGTCTGGCTCCCCAGGTGGGCCCAGGGGGACTGCCCTCCGTGTGACTCTTCAGCTTTGCCTCTTTCTTGGCACTGGGACATCAACTTGTACAGCCAAAATCAACTCCCACAACTAATAATCCCTTAAAACAACGTGTACCACAGCACTTGTCCAGAATTTGCTAACAACAGCTATATTACTTGCTTGTGGAAACAGTGCCCCAGAACTTCTCAAAGTATGTTTTCCTTCCTCAAAAACGGTACAAAATAATGGCCAGAGTTAATGCCATATTAAATGACAAGGTACTTGAATAATGACTTTCTATATATTTATTTATTTTTATCCTCACCCAAGGACATTTTCCCATTTTTTTGTTCAGGTAGAGTGGGAGGGAGAGAGAGGAACAGAGAGAGAGAGAGAAACATCGATGTGAAAGGAACACATCAAGTGGCTGCCACCCGCACGACCGACCAGGGCCGGGGACAAACTGCAACTGAGGTACGCGCCCTTAGAGGGAACCGAACCCGGGTCTCTCAGGACCGCAGGTCGACGCTCTAACTGCTGAGCCAAACCGGCCAGGGCAACTTTCTATATATTTAAAAGCCACAGACAATGACTCCTTTTTTTTTAATTGGAAAAGAGTGATGGATCGTGAAGCACATTATTTATCATTTCCAGTCTAAGCCCTGTTAATGATGTTCCTTTGTTATCTCAGCTTAAACATAATATATACACATTGAAAAAAGATAGGGGGAAATAACCACATGGAAGTAGTGGTCCTCTGTCTAGGTGTTGGAATTCAAGATGATGATATATTTTCTTTAAAGTTTTCAGTACTTTCTAAATTTTCCCCGATGATTATGTTTTGGCTGCATGATAATTTAAAAGTTGATAAAATCAACAAATATAATAAGTATGAACACACAATATTATCCCACTAATTTGAGAACACAAAAATTGTGTAGCAATAGTTATAACTAAGAGGTAAGATTCTGGACAATAGTGTTTTGTTTCTTTCCCCCCAACAAGTACATATAACTTATATGATTGTAAAAAGACTAATTTCATTAAGAGAAAAAAATGTAAAACAAAAGTGGGAGTTATTCAATACTTAATTTATGCATTTTAGAAGAAGGAAAGCTAAATACTGAGGAAAAGAATCCCGCCAAAGCCATTAGGATAAAGAAAATATATCAAATGCCTTTTCCTTTAAGGCATACTTTCTACTCTCTTCTATTTATGGCTCCCTTTCTTTACCCATAAAAATATATCTATTATTGCATTTGAGTTCTTAAAATTGGCTCCATGAGATGATACCTCTTACGCTTTCAATTCTATTCCTTAGGACTTCACTGAAATATGTTGCTAAAATGTTCACACCGTCCCAGGGGAGCCAGATGTGTTAGTCAAATACTTTAAATAGATTTGATTGAAGGTTTGGAAAGACTTCCTGTTCCATTGTATTTAAAGGTGCTGATGTTCAATGTTTTCATTTTTCTTTTTCCTGCTCTCTACTCATTTTATCTTTGATTTGTTAGTTCTTACAATTTTTGGTTTTATAATCTGAGGACTTAACAAATTCATAATGATTGTATAAGTAGACAAATACATTCTCATAGACACCATACTGCAACCTCAAACATTTGCATTGCAAATGCAACATGACCAATGTTAGTTTAGTTGCAAGATTCTATTAAAATTGACACAGACACCTTAGGATCATTTAGTGGCTGTCTAGGGGTCATATTCCAAACAGTGAGCACTACTTATAAAAGCAGAAGAGAAAGAGTTCTGGAATTCAGACAGGCACATTGACCCCCACATATTGTATGTAGAATATAATAGTGGTCCTTACCTAACCCTAATGTTTTTTCTCCTGGTTACAACTTCCCGAAGTTTCCTCCGTATCCCTTTTCTTGCATCTCCAAATGAAATGCAGCAGATTGATAAAGGGAGAAGAAAAAAACACCAAGAAGTACTCCTGGGCATAGGAAGCAACTTTTCAAATGGACTGTTTCAAAGGGCTAGGTCCATCCTTGGAAGCCTAACCAGTATGCCTGCATACCGTGAGAACAAAGCGTTATTTAACCTTTGGAGGTAAATGCTAGTTTGAAAATGGACTACCAAAGCCCAAACAAAACTTCCTAATCTTACCTCTTGTTCAACAGAGCAGTGAGTATGAAAAATATTTGGGAGAAAGAATCAGTTTCGGGAAAGCTTTCTCTGGTAACCTTGAGAAGGAGAGAGGCAGGTAAGCAACCACAGTGGTAGGCAGGGCAGATAAAAATCCCAGACTGTACATGGTTTCATAACTGTGAACACAAAGGCTGAAATAATGCCTAATACAGGATGATTTCCTCGAACCATCTCCAGGCCCACAGTATCTCCTCGATGACTTATTTATACATAACATAAAGAATTAGAGACAGATCACATTGGAAACATACCTTGACTACCAATTCATCCCACCCACAGGTCTGCCCACCCTGTTAAATACACATAGGCAGAACTTGGTGAGATAGTAAACGAACTTCAGCCTCAGACTATATGAATCTCTATGTGCTTAGCACCATGGGAGCAGGGGACAGCCTCCACCCTCTTCGCTCCTGCTGGCTGGGACGAGCAGAGCAGACCCATGTGCAGGCTCTAGCACAAGGGCAGGAGCCGTAAATATGAATTTCTCAAGTGTTATGAGGCAACGTCGGAATTGCCTGAATTGCTGATACAGAGAAGAAAAATTCCTTCTTCCTTTCCTTGAGGTAGAAGTTCATTCAGCCTTTTGGTTTCACGCTGAAAATACAGTCTACCTCCACTGATACAGCAATCTCCCCTGGCGGCATTTGTAACGGGGCTCCTTATCAGTTCTACTGAGCCCTTTATAAGAACGGAAATAATAGTCCAGATATTATGAAAAAGAAGTCCTAACACTGTTGTGTAAACCAACAATGCATGCACACTTCACAAGTGATACTTAAGCTTTCACATAATAGTAATATGATTGGTGAGAATGAGCCTATAAGAACTAGATTACCAACCTCTTGACTATATTCAAAAAGATTTCCTTTTTTGTGCAAATAGTTTAATCTTGATTACTATTAATAAAAAAATAACATCTAAAAATATTATTTCCTGATGTGGAAAATAAAGAAACACTATAGTTTTCAAACAGAAAATTATTTGATAACCCTGGCCAACGTGGCTCATTTGGTTGGAGCATCGTCTTATGCACCAGAAGGTCGCAGGTCTGATTTACGGTCAGGCACATACCTAGGTTGTGGTTTATTCCCTGGTCAGGGCACATACGAGGGGCAACCAATGGATGTATCTCGCTCACAGCTATGTCTCTCTCTCTCTCTCATTCTCTCTTCTTTCCTCTCTCAAATCAATTTTAAAAATTATTTGATGGAAAACTTTTCTGGGAATATATTTCAAGAGTAAGGTTGATAAGGGAACTGAAAAATATTATATAGATTTTCACGCTTGTAGAAAGGAAAAAAATGTGTTTTTATCATACGAAAATTTATTTTTTAACAATTTAACCTACAAAGATGATAACATCTCAATAAAAGTGTACTTTTACTCTTTCAAAAAAAATTTGCTTTTCTCTGTACTGTAGGCCGACGCTCCAATTGCTGAGCCAAACCGGCCAGGGCAAACATTTTTCTATGGTTACAAAAAATTCACTACAAATTTTCTTGGTAAGAAATAATCTAAATTATATTCTCATGGGTACTGGTAATGGAAACAGTGGTAGAAAAGCAGAGGAGTGACTTTAGCGCAGAGGTCCCGGCTGGTTCTAGCCATTATGTCCTCCTTACATATTGCATATACTGAAATATATTGACTATTTCAAAACTGCAGAAAGTGAGCAGAATGAAGAGATAACTCTCTGTAAACAGGTTGATAAAATAGAGAGAAAAATAAAATCACTTTATGTTTTCTTCCTTTCCACGTCCCTTTTGGGACCTGACTGTTTTGCAAGTTGGAAATGGCACAATCTCTATTGAATAAAGATGAGCATATCTCTTGAGATTTAAAAGGTAAAAAGCAGCACAAGAGAGGCAAGTCCAGTGCCCTTTGAAGGACAGCACTTTCACATGACCCTCCGGTGAAGAAGCAGCGGTGCTGGCGGTGCACACAATGGGGCGTCATTCAGTGAGAGGAGAAATTCACAGGCTCCCAGAAAACCCCAGTCAATGTAGCGAGATTTGGTTTTACTGGTATTTCCACAGAATCACTGCAAATAAAAATCGTTCTCTCTCTCTTCCTTTTGTTTGGGAACTTGAATGGCTGGTTAATCTAGGCCATCGCTGTCCTTCTTGCACTCTAACAACAAAAAAAGATTTCCTCACGTGGAATCTAAAGAGCAATATAAACAAACAAACAAAATAGAAATAGACTCAGATACAGAGCAGACTGATAGCTGTAGAGGGGAGAGGAGCTGGGGGCTGGGTGAAAAGGGAGAAGGGACTGAGAAGCACAGATGGGCAGTTACAAAACAGTGATGAGATGTAAAGCACAGCTTAGGAACTGTAGTCAGTAATATGGCATTAATTATGTATGGAGCCAAGGTGGGCACTTGAAATATCGGGGGATCACTTTGTAAAGTATATAATTGTCTAACCACTATGCTGTACACCTGAAACTAATACCAAATACTATGGAGTATAAACTATAATAAAAAAATAGAATAAAAAGATTCCCTTTTCTACTGCAGCACTGGTCTCCCCTTCTCAGTGTGCCATGTTCACAATACAACAGTTAAGATTCAGCAATTTCTCTGGGGAAAATGCCCTAAATAACGGAGTTCTTTTTCTAAAGGTACTTTTTCCAGGAGCATTTTATGATTTCCGCTTGTATTCTTGAATCAAATTTAGTTAAAACTAAATTTGCCAAGAGTCCAGTAAGAACGCTTTACTACCTCATTTGTTTCAAGACAGAATTCACAATGTAAAAGCAAGAGAAAATGAAAACCCGGTATTGTGGAAATTACCTCATCTGCTTCTTTCTTTTCTCCTGACCTGGAAGGTGATCTACTGTCTTTTTCATTGGCATGCTATAAAAAAAAAAAAAAAAAAAAAAAAAGAGATAATGTTTAATAGAGGGAGGTGATACAAGCAATATAATTGTGACTTTAATCCCAAAGGGCTAAATATATAGACTGTTCAGAACAAGGACCCCTTTAATCTTCCTCCTGAGAATGTTGATAATTCTACACCCACCGATGTAGGTGGCTTTCAAAAATCAAGGGGAAGTACAGACATGCATTTGGGGTGTAGAAAGTCAGCCTGTAATTAACCAGACACAGATCTGATAGTGTTGCTGAGGTGGCATCTCATCTCCTACAAAACGCCTCATGGAATTTTAAAGCCCAAATTGCCAGCGTGGGAGACGTCTGGTTCCTCATGGAGATGAGATGTCTGAGGACCATGTTGAGGGTAAAGCCATACTTAAGCCTCAGTTCAGCATATGGACAAGAGGGAGGACCAGACCTTCCAAGTCAACCATCTCGTTGGATGGCTCTTGGGAATTCCCTTCCATTCTTCTAAGTTTTCAGCAATGCAGACAGATAGACCCTGAAGTGGAACGACCACACCTGCAACTTCCAATTACTATGGCTTTAGAAGTTCAATATGTCCAGAAACAGAGCTATTTTTCTCACCAGGACATGAGATGAAAGCAAGTATTTGTATGTGGTATATAAAAGCTTCGAGTAGCTTACACCATCATTTGTTTTGATGCTAAGGTAAAATAAGTCATAAAGGTTATTGATTTTTTTTTTTTGAAAAATGAAAAATAATTTTATGTTCCTGAAAAGAAGGTACAGATAATTATTTGTTTTTTGCACATTTGTGAGATGTGCAAAAAAGTGAGAATAGGAAGTCTAAGTATATATATATATATATATATATATATATATATATATTTGAATTTTTTTATTAAATTTTTGTTACAGATGTTTCTCCTTTTTCCCTGTAGATACCCTCCTCCCTATCCCCACCCCACCCCCCACCGCCAAGCATTGTTGTTTATGTCCATTGGTTACTCACACATGCATATAAGTTCCTTGGTTTATCTCATCCCTCCTCCATGCCCCTCTCCTCTGAGGTTTGTCAAAGGAGAGAGAGATAGAAGCATCAATGTGAGAGAGAAATATTGATTGGCCGCCTCCTGCATGCCCCCATCAAGCCCATAACCTGGGCATGTGCCCTGACCAGGAATTGAACTGGGACCTCTTGGTCCATGGGATGTTCCTCAATCCACTGAGCCACCGGTGGAGCTAAATATATATTTTTTAAAAGCTCATCATTGGGTTCAATCCCAATCACCTTTAATTAAACCAAAATATAAAATTCCCTTACATTTTCTGAGCAGAATCATAACCTGGATATGTAGGCAATTGAAATTATGCAAATTAAGAAGAGTGAAGAGTGACAATAATAGTAATAATAATTTATATCACTCTTTATTATTTACAAGGTACTTTCATATACATTCTTATTTGACAATAAAAGAGACCCATGTGATTTTGTGGATAAAAAGCTAAGAATAAGAGTCACTTGGTGTGTTTTTCATAAGGACATACATCTAGCAAATGGGGAAAGTTTACAAAGCAAGCATTTTGAACTTAAAACCTGGCATTTGTCACTATATCATGCTAAATGGAATAATATTCCCTTTAGTCATATCAACAGATATTTTAGAAAAAAAAAAGGCCAAGAAAATCCAGACACGTGGCTGAAATTTTTCAATAGTCTCTTTGTATGAAAGACTAGAAAGAAATCACTTACATGAATGGAAAGTTCTTCCCAGAAGGAAAGACTCATGAATGGGTGAGTGGGCTCCACAGAAAAGCAGGCATCTGCGGCACTTAGTGTGGGGAACGAAGCCCTCTGCAGGGTTTGTCTTGCCTACAGTCCTATCAGGGGTTTGTTTGTCCACAGTTGAGTGCAGCAGTACTGAGTAGTTAATGAATCTTGAAAACTAAAAAAAAAAGCCATTTAAAAGCCCACCTATATATCAGAGCAAGGTGGGAATTAATCAGTTTCAGAATAATTGGTGAGCAAAAGGTTCTTAAAGGCCAGAACAGGGGGAAGAATTATTCAACATTGGGAGACAGAATTTGAGAGGGCCAGATCCACAGTGGTAGAGATGTACCCACGCGGTCTCCTTCCAGATCTGGTCATTCAGAACCATGATATTACATTCATTTCTTATCTCTAACTCCATACCTTTGTCAGATTAGTTATAGGTAATAACACAGCAGTATCCACTGTTTTACTGAGTGCACTGCTTAGAGTGCCTCATTTACTTGCCAGGAGGTATTATTAATCCATTTTATAAATAAGAAAACTTAAAGAGACAGTGTGCTCATGTCTGGTGCAATGGTCCATGTTCTCCCCAAGGTCTCACTCTGCTTTCTGCTCATGTGCCAAACATATATTATGATTTATTACCTTACAATAAATGCACAGTCTTTTCTCTCTAAAATATTGTTATACAAATATTTTTCTTTACATTTTTAAAAAAGTTTTTTCCTGATGGTGTTTCAAAGTTGCAGTCCTCCTGATTAACCAACAGGATCAGTTCCTTGTTTCCACTGAACTACTCAAATCCCTCAAAATTATGTTGGCTCTAAACAATAGTTTGAAAGGGATGTATATAACAAAGTATTTTTTAAAATGTTGAGTTACAATGACAACTTATAAAAATTATGTATTTTAAGAACTGGCATTTTGTCATTTCAAAAGAAATATTTGCTCTCAATAGGAAGCAATTTTTGATAATACTCAAAATTATAATGACATAAATAAAAATCATATAAACAAGTGGCAAAAATTTTTAGGAACTATATGTATTGTATTTTTTCATTTTTTATTTTTTTTAACCTGGCTTTTTATTATAATATTTTCCTAACATATAAAACATTGAAAGAATAATACATTGAATGCCGATATTCCCACCACTTAGATTCAACAACTATTAACATTGTTGCCATATTTTACACTACTTTCATATATTACAGACAGAAAAATCTATTTATCTATGTTTGTATATGTACCTGCATTTGAAAGTAAATTGAAAATATCCTGAAACTTTACTCCTAAATATTTCGCCAAACATCTCCTTAAATTGAAGACTTTTTCCTATATAACTCCAATACCGTCGTCACTCTAAGAGAATTAACAAGAATTACTAATGCCATTCCATTTCCAGGAAATAACAACTTTATGAATGAACCATTGTCCAGACCATTTCATGGGGCTCATTCAGTACTCAGCACCCTATTAATGATATAAAATCAGTTACATTTTTCACTGAGAGCGGTTCCAAGTACCTGATGTTTTATTTCTTGGAACAACTGAGCAATTTCAATGTAATTGAGATGATGATAAGAAATATCTGGGAAGGATATATGTCCAACTTGATCCAGCTCAGGAACCTGCAGTAAGACTTTCTAAGAACAAAGAGAGAAAACTCTGTCTACTATTACTGTGCGAGGCTGGTGAGGTGGGGAGAGGTGAGAAGCATGAGAAGGGAGGGAGAGGATAGGTCGGAAAAGAGAACTGAACCACTAACCTAATAAATCTGAGGACTTTTCTATACGAGGAAAAAGAAACTAATATGTTCTAAGCATCTATTCTGTGCTAAAAAGGTACTAGGCATCTTTGTGTGGTCACCTTTACTCCCCACGACAACTGTAGGGGTACACACTGTCACCTCATCCTGTGTATAAAGAATAGAGGATCTGAAAGGTGAGGTTTTCCCTGGTCACACCACACATCAGGATTATAGTTTATGGCCAGAGACTTGGCTATGCCGGATCTAGTGAAACGCTAGCTGAGATCTTGATATTCACATCAAGAAAGTCTCAATCCAATGCTCTAAATGAAAACAATCACAAACAAACAAACAAACAAACAAAAAACAGAAGTAAAACAAAACCTTTCTAGTCTAAAACTGGTTTTTTAAAATTAATGACCCACAGTACTTATCAATTTCATCCTGCAGTAGCAGGTGGGAGACAAGGCCAAAGACAGGAAGAGCAGGAGGCTGGCCCTAGAGCAGGGACAGTTTCACTGGGAAGATAAGTCCACAGAAGCCCGGGAGCCAAAATGATGGATAGAGACATGCACAGTTCAGAGGCTGGGAAACAAATCAGGTAAAGGGCTTTCCTTTCTTTGGAATAATCTTCCAAACTATTTCTAGTCCCTGACATCACCACACATTTGGCAAGTACAGCTGTCTTTGTCCTCACACTAGGACACAGCATTTATATGCTAAAATCTTCTACCCTAGCAAACCCTGCACCTGTCAGGAAATCAACAAGAGGCAGGAGCAATAAGGCCTGGGGCCTGTGCTCTCCCCCAGCTAAGGAGTCTCCAGCCCTCGGACCCCCTCTTATTGTTACCCAGATGCACTCAGATACATGCACAGACAAGGGTTTACCATGCACAGAATAAAACAAAATCAAACAAATGTCTACACATGTAAAAGAAGAAAGAAGGCAGAAACACATGAGCTTTGAAAGCCAGCTGTGAAAGAGTACCTAACACTACTGAGCTTCTGAAATGCCTTTGCTTTATTTAAAAAAAGAAAAAAAAAAAAAGAAAAAAAGATACAGAGTTTCTTTTAGGGGGTGACAAAAACATTCTAAAATTAAACTGAAGTGATGTTTGCACCACCCTGCAAATATATTAAAAAATATTAAATTGTATGTTTTAATGAGTGAATTTACAGTTTGTGAATTCTAACCCCTTCCCAATACCAAAAATTTTCTTTTTTAAATACAGATTATTTGAAAATAACTCAAAGATTTTCCTTCTTCACTCAGAGACAAGGCCATAGGGATCAATATGCACGTCCAGCGACAACTGTACCAAAATTATGAAGCAATAAAACGTTGTCTCGGTGCCGTCTGGACTTTACCAGTGCACAGAGCCCCCCTCTCCCGGCACCGCCACTGCACCTGCTGAGAAAGGTGGTTTCGGGGCCTCCTAGGATCGGAAAGCCTTCGCTCAGCAGGAGGTCCTATACCTCAGTGAGGGCCACAGG